CCAGAGTGACCAGAGGACCCGGCAATCCGACTACCCAGGTGTACGTCCTAGAGACGGGAGAGCTCTGATAGGGAGAGAGAAGTGCAGCTTCAGCCCGGCCTCGCTCCCAGGAGTGAAAAGCAGGGAAGGCAGACGCCGTGCCCATCCACAGACGAGCGGACAGACTACACAACGACCGCGCAAGGGAACGGTGCGTCGCGTGGAAGACTAACCAGGCATCCTCGAAACATCTTGGAGCCAGGCTCCACCTGGAGGCCGGGACGAGTGAAATGAGTTCATCACAAAAGGAGACAAAGAATGTCGGAGCCACTACTGCATGAAGGCAGAAAAAGGCTTGTGTAGGGAAACCAGCATCTCTCCAACACGCTCTGTCGGGCGACCGGGTGACTCCTCTCCTCCACTAGGGTCAGAGGGACCTCCAGGAGGCTCATTCCCCGAGCAGACCCTGCAGGCGTCGTTTGGGCTTCCATGGTCACTCAGTCTTTGGCACACCAGAATCTCTCCGTTTAAACTCTGAGACTAATTCCCTCCTTCAGATTCGGGGTATATCGTTTATTGGGTCTCGGATGTCACATTTGAAACTTTGTAACACGTCCTAGTACACAACTAGCCTGAGCGCTGTTTGTCTTTTTGCGTGCGTGCTGGGTCACTGTGGCAATGGTGATTAGCACCCAGAGAAATCAGGACAGAAGGCAAACAGATGGACAGGCCCCAGGAGGGGCGGCACCGTCTCCAGTGGGCCAGACGCCCATGGAGGCGCCGGCCGGCCGGCGTACTCACAGGAGTGGAGCTTGAAGAGCAGCTTGACCGTGTAATCGTACAGGTGGCTGCAGTCCAGGATGACCTGGATGAGTGGGGCCAGGCGGCACTGCCCGGCTGCCGTCACCGACACGGAGCGCGACATGTCCAAGGAGTTGAACACTAGGGAGCAAGAGGAGGGGAGGGGAGAGGCAGTTGCGTTACGCAAGTTCTGGCCCCTAGCTCAGAGGGCCAGAAAGAAGGGCGCCATTCCTCTAACTCTTCCAACATCCTAGGAGGCAGGTCAAGGGCCCCCGTGGCACAGGGGAAGACACTGAAGGTCGGTCACTTGAAGGAGGTGACCAAACCAGGAAGTGGCTTGGCTGAGAGGCGGTGCGTTATGAGATGGGCAGCCTGCCCGGCCACCAGCTGGACCGTGACCGTGGCCCTGCGTGGTAGGGTCATGAACACGCGATGGGCTCTATTTGGTGCAGAGCCTGGTGGCAGACCCTGAGCGGGGAGCTCCCAGCACGGAAGAGAATCCATTCCTTCCGGTCTCTGCAGAGCTTCAGTGTCCCTGGTCCCTGTGTGGTCGGTGGGGCACACAGAGATGGGTGACGGTTCAAGGGTAGCCTGGAGTTTGGTGGGGAAGCGGCATTCCAGGAAAAATTCCTTTCCATCCGTGAAACCAGTCTGTCGGTAATCCCCGCCTATGGGATTTTTTTTTCTCCCCCAAGTGGTAAAAATGACCCATGTGGAATGGAGATGCACAAAAAGGGAGGCTGCAGCCTTGGGCTTCCCGGGGCTCACAAGGTGCCGCTGCAGACCACGGAGCTCTACCAACAAAAACAAACCAAACAACCCCACGCTCACTGCCATCGAGTCCACGCCGACTCCTATCCACCCTCTGAGGCTGGGTGGAACCGGCCCTGTGGGTTTCTGAGACGGTAACTGCTCATGGGAGTAGCTGGGGGGTTATGGGAGTAGCTGCTGGCTGACCTGGTTTACAGCCGACACACAACCATGGTAGCGTCAGGGCGATCGGGACACCTGAAGCCTGGCTGGGCAGGGGCCCTGGCTGGACAGCTGGAGAGCCGAGGAGGGTAAAGGCAAGGGGCTGGGAGGACGGACCATCAGTGTCCAAGGCTGCGAGAAGCCCCAGGGGACCAAGTTCCAAATAAGAGAAGGTTCGCCCTCCCATTTCTTGCCCCTGTGAGTCCCCGACAGTAAGTATCCAACCCAGCTCCCACCTGCAGCCCTGGCCCATTTCGCTTCCTGCACAGGCTTCCCACGGCCTCTGGAGCTGGCCTGGGGCGTGCACCTTGAGAATCGCTGTCAGTGCGCAAAATAAATGCCAACTGGGGGAGCCCACGTGGCCTATTGGGTTATGCAATGGGCATCTAACGGCCCGCCCAGCAGTTCGAAGCCACCCGCCACTCTGAAGGAGCAAGACGAGGCTTTCGACTCCCATAAAGATTTAAAGCCGAAAAACCCCACTGTTAGACCGTCCTGCAGGGTCACTATGGTTTGGAACGGACTTGGTGCAGGGAGTTTGTTGTTTCTGGTAGGGGCTCTGGTGGCTTGCTGCCGGGTAGACTAACTGAAAGGTCGGGGTTCAAGGCCACCAGCTGCTCTGTAGGAGAGAGGTGAGGTTTGCTGCTCCTGTGAAGATTTATAGTGGGCTAGGAGTTGGAATCGACTGATGGCGGTGGGTTTGGGGGCTTGGGTAGCTTGCCCCTTTCCCTCAGCGATGAAAACTAGGCTGTGGCATCCTTCCTGGGGCACTGGTCAGAACCTTCCCGGTCACAGGGCAGAACTCGGGAGCTGTTGGGGAAACCGGCTCAGGAGGGTTTGCGTGCAACCAGACGAGGCAGAGGCCCGTCGCACCTGGCAACTGGGCCCTTCTTGACACCGCGTTTCCAGCACCGGCTCTCTCAGCTGTCGGCGGTGGGGACGTCTGGGGAGAGGGCAGGCGAACGTCCTTGAGGCGACCTCCTTGTCTTCTTGGAACGATGTCATGGAGGGATTTGTGCAGAGACTCGGGGTGTAAATCAGACCTCTGTTGTCAGGTGTCCTTGGGTCGGTTCTGACCTGTAGCAACCTGAGGCACAGCAGAATGACACTGCCTGGCCCGCACTGTGGCAGCCACTGTGTCCATCCGTCTCCTTCACAGTCTTCCTCGTTTTTTTTTGCTGCCCCGCCCCCCTTCTCCCAACAAGATGTCCAAATACAAGAGAGGAAGTCTCGCCATCATCATTCCTGAGGAGCATTCTTGGCTGTCCTCCTTCCAAGACAGATGTCTGCTTGTTTGCTGACCGCCCGTGGTACTGTCCCTATTTTTTTGCCAGCACCACAGTCCGAGAGCACCGGGTCTGCCTTCTTCGCCGCCCAGCTGTCACATGCAGGTAGGTGAGGGCAGGGCCAGGGCCAGGGGCACCTTAGCCCCCTGACCTGCGACGGCTTTGCTCCGAGCACCTTGAAGAGCTCTGGGCCACCGATGTGCGCGGTGCCGTCCTTCAGGGGGCTCCTGACGGCTGCGCCCACGACCGTTGCTTGTGGATACACGTGAAATGAAACCCTTGACCACGGCCATCTTTTCTCTGGCCCCTCCTGCCCCACCCGCCCCCCCATTTCTCCTGTCACTTTGTGGAATTTTCATTTGTCCTTGGGCTCTGGAAGGCCCTGGGGGTGGGGATGGGGACATGAACTGCTCAGTCATGAACTCACTGGCTCAGAAAATACTCCAGGTACCGAGAGCAGAGAGAGAGGGCATGAAGACAAGGGCTCGTCCCCCCCCAGAGCCCGGCCGGGAGGGGAGGGAGAGACTCACCAGTTTGGAAGAGGGTTAGCTCATACTCCAGGTAGTCAAACATCTCCACGGTGAGCTGGAAACTGGGCCCAAGAGGGGAGAAATCACAAGTCCACCCCACAGTCCACGGTCAGTCTTACTTGTTCCCCCCATTCCCTCCCCGCATGGCACTGTCTGTCCTAACATCCCCAAAGCCTGTACACACACACACACACACACACACACACACACACAATTTCTCTCTGTCTCCAATTCTCAACAAGGGTTTACAGATTTCAGGTGGGTGACGCATCAACAGTGACGATAGCAAAAGGCGCGATGACCCATCGGGTGGGTGTTGGGTTGGTGGAGGGTGAACCAACACCAGGTTGGGTTGGGAACAGAACGTAGTGGGTAAAGCGGAGGAGAGAGTCTTGGAGTGCAAGTCAGCCTGGCAGGGGTTCTGGACCAGGGCAAATCACCCAGGAGCTGTAGCTCCCCACCTGTCACCTCCCCCTGCCACCAGGTCCTCCGTGAGCCCTGATGGGAACCGCCGGCATCAACGAACGAATCTTTCCCCGCGGGGTCCAGAGCACGCGGAGAGCCACTCACAAGTTATTGACGTCACTTTCCCCAGCCTCGTCCAGCTGCCGGTCAGTCATCTGGAGGTTGCCTGGGAACCTGGGGTTCTGCGAGGGCGGCAGAGGGAGGAAGTCAGAAAGGGGGGCCACCGGAGGGGCTTTATGCAGCCCATCTACGCTGACACCACGCCAGCGGTCCAGCCTAGAGCAGTGGTTCTCGACCTTCCTCATGCCGCGACCCTTTCCTACAGTTCCACATGTGGTGGTGACCCCCAACCATAACATTATTTTCGTTGCTACTTCATCCCGGTAATTTTGTTACTGTGATGAATCATCATGTAAACATCTGACAGGCAGGATGTATTTTCATTGTTACATATTGGACATAAAGCATAGTGATTCATCACAAAAACAAGATGTCATTCTATATTGTGAAATATTTATTTCTAATGACAAATAAGTCAAAGTTTGTCTTGAAGCATGGTGTAGCATGGGTAACAGTCTTCACATCGGGTCCTCATAGGTGGGCATATCTGCCTGTGGAAGTATCTGCATGTGGGTGGACCTGCCTGGAGACAGAGGAGCGGTGTCTCGGTTCCTAAGACCATCTGTGTTTCTTGATGGTCTTAGGTGACCCCTGTGAAAGGGTCGCTCGACCCCCAAAGTTGAGAACCGCTGGCCTAGATCTTGCTGATGCTGCAGGGAGCTCTTGTCTGGGCGCCCATGGTCTTCCCAGGAAGATGGGGTCAGCACATGCACCACCATAGACACCCCCCACTGGCCCCACACACACACCCTGGACTGGTGGTGCCTCCAGCCCAGGAGGTGGCAAACAATGGCTTTTTGGGTGTGTACTTGAAGTGAAACCAGACATGGATAAAACCACCATTCTTCCACTGATAACATATTCCAAGGAGAGTATCTAGACAATGGTGATGTCACCTGTTTGTAAAAATATGTTTATGGCTCTTGAATCATCTTACGATTGTCGTGTGTGGGGCAGGATAGGCTTCTT